AGAAAATTCAGCACCTGCCATTTTGTGTAGAACAAAGGAGCAAAGGTTATGGATATCTAAGGCATAAATTGGGATTTGGGCACTTGGAAAGATTGGAAGGAATCGAATCATCTTGACCAGGTCTTGCTATGCCCTCCCATCTTCCCTTTTGCATTACGTCCCACACCAGTGACGTATAGAGTAATGAGCAAAGACGCAGAACCATCACCATGGCAAGATTGAAGAGGCCCTTAGAGTGAATAATTAGGAGGAGGTGATTACAGAACTAATAATTTATTGAAAGGAATGGTGAGCCAATTCAGGGAAATCGAAAAAATTTAAAGGTAAATATGCCCATAAATCCTCCAGGGTGGACTCAGCATTTAGCACTTTCTCCTACCCCAGTTTTGTTCCAAGGCAATTTCATTAAACACTGGAGAGAGGGAGAGAAAAAATAATAATATAAATGCCATAAAAAATCTTTCAGAGGAAGGAATAAAAAGAGTTCCTGCCAGAGAGGTATTTTATTGAAAGTTATTATAATACCTATCTTTAGTTTTATGGCCCTTAATACAGGGCCAAGTAATCTCAAAGCTGGGATTTTTAAAAATGAAATACATATTTTAGTATAGCATGAATTATTACTTTTAATATAGAATTTAGCTAATATATAGAATAGAAAATATTTTCTCTTGTGTTTCTCTCCAATAAAAGCACAAACATCGTTTCCATCATAGCACATGGAGAAGTTTCATTACTATCATGTTGCCTGTACGTAAGAAAATTTAGCATTTACCATCCTCAGATCACTGAACAGACATTTCAAAATCCCCCTTGAGGGCCATGGGTGGGTGTAATTAGCCCCATTTCAAAAATGGGGAAAGGGAACCAGGAATGGAATAGTTGATTTTGCTTAATGCCTCACAGTGAGAGCCGGTGGGGAGAGTTCTGGGGTCGCAGCTCACTAGCCTGTGCTGTCTTGGGGAAGTTTAGTAATGATCCAGGGAAGATTCTCAGCGCCAGCATAGTATGGAGGGGGACAGATTCCAGTTACAAAGTTTTTTGTCTTCTGGAAGATTCCTCAACTCTCTTTCTGTTGTCAGGAATTTGCTGCTGCTCTGCTCTGAAAAAACTTTATTCCTTTGGGGTAATTCAGATGTTGGTATCTGAGCTGAAGGTGCATGGAAAACCAATATGTGATGGGGCTGGAAAATCAGTTAGTGATGAAGAGTGATGGAAAGTTCTCAGATTAAAAATACCAGATACGAAATAGCAAGACAGATTAGTGTCCTTATCTCTTATGTGGTTTCTAGAAATCTCATTACTGACCTTGACATAAGTCTGAACACTAACACTACTTTTGGAGGTTTCTCTGTTTTCTAAGCCTTATTCTTATATATACAAAACCTATTCTTATATGTACAAAACCACTAGCCTGGAAGAATCAGCAGCCACAGAGCAAGAAAAGCTAGAATATGAGGGGAAACAGCATGCCACGGAGGTGAGTGGATGAAGACAGAAATTAGTTGGTAGAATCAAGTGTGAAACTAATTGTGAAAAAGTGCAGATACAGGTCAGAGCTGGCAGGGTTGGTGAGTACTGCACACCATACATTTGTATTTTGCCTGAGGCTGGCTGTTTATGCCCTTCTCTTTTCAGAACCCACACAAGCTACATGCAGATTTTATAGAAGAAAACCTAGAACAGCTAGTAAAGAATATAGCATAACATATGCTGCATTTATTGTCCTTAAGCTGCTTGATGCTTGATGGGAAATTGGACGAGAAGATTAAAAAGTGCCAGGCCTCGTGACTTTGCAGCTCCTGCTGAGAACTCGTGCTCGTGTCAAAATTCTGCAGCGACCAGCTTGCAGGGACAGCGAGGAGTGTGAGCGGCTGGGAGGCGCCGAGGGCTCCTAGCTCAGCTCCCAGCAGCTGGTGATGCTGGCGAGGGCGACGGCTCCGGGGAAGCGTGCAGAACAGGACAACACAGATAGCGAATACTCCTTTGGTCTTCAGTGCCTGTGGCACAGGGCCTTTCCAAGCTAAACGTGGTGTATTTCATAGCTTCGAAGGGATTTTTTCTGCCCTTAATTTGGCCGATCACTTTTCAATGCATCTAGCCTTTTACCACCCGCCAGTATCCTTTTGCAAGGAGTTCCCTGGTTTAAAAAAAAAATCATTATGTGAAGAAATATCATCTTTTATTTGTTCTCAATCTGCTGCCTTTCTGATTTCATAGGATGTCTCCAACAGCAGAAAGAGAAGAAAACAAGGTTTATAAGGGAACTTCTTATTCTATACAAATATTGCATCAGATATTTGATTACAAGTTATTGTTATATGAAGCCCTTAGATGTGAGCAAGAAGGTGGGTAAGCAGTTGATAAGTGATAACCACACATGGCTGTAATTTTCGTGTTTATTTTCTACCGCAGGCAAATTATTGCTTTTCCTTTAGACGATCCTAGTAGTGAATTGTCAAATTTTCAACTAAGGGCAAAATCAAATCCATGTGCTCTAAACCCAAGTTGGAAATAATAATAAAAAAATGCAAAATTCTTAGCACTGCCTAAGCAGGGTCTTTTAGTAGTGATGGATGATTTATTTTTTATTTGGAGTATTATATTTGACAAGTGTACAAGTTTTACAGATGTTTTGGGTGTCTGTAAATATACATTTCCAGTTTCACTAGTTACATTTCAGCTGCTTGAAAACCTTTCTTGCAGTATAGTTTTGTTTACTTATTATGCTAAATTACTTGACAGTGGTGCAATTAAAAACTAGTATCTTTCTTGTGAGGGACAGCTGTGTTTCACTGTTGGAGGATGTGATCACTGTTTGTATAAGTTATAAAGTCATCTGGTGTCCTTTGAGATAAGTAATGCTTCATAAAATATATGTGACAGGACCGAAAGAAAATTCACTTATAGAAAGTGAATTTGTATTTTGTGTATTCCTTATTGCTTGACCTCTTGCTGAATAGACAAACTTTTAAACCTAGTTCCTTTTAAGAGAGAGGTCAGCACCAGGATGTCAGCAGAAGTTCTTCCATCTTCTGTGACTGAAAAAAGATGCAAAAAAAAATGTAAACTCCTAAGGCAGCAGTATTTGTGCATGTTGCCTTCAGTTCTTTTTAATCTTGCCTCCACGTGGAAGCATTTAAGCATGGGACTACTGCAAGATTGCATCTTATGAAATGTTGCCAAATGGACATGCCAGGGCAAGACTAAGTAGCGTGATAGGGGATTCTCTTACTTCATGGCTGTTTTCTTGCAGATACTCAATTATTATTTTGTGATTTTTTCTTTACAGCCCATGAGTCCTGTTTTTATTTCTTGGCTCACTGTAAATCACAAAATCAAGAGTAAAGGAGCGTTAGGTTGAATCTGGTCCTTCTGACAGACTGCTAGGTTCTGATTTTATCTCAAGCTGAAAAACCAAACACGGGGAAAGCTGGAAGCATCTCGCAATGGACAGAGGGACTCGCTAGCACTAGGACCAGAAGAGGCTAAAGAAAAAATTAGAGCTCCATAACAGATATGTAAAGATACATGGGAGCACCCAGCATTTTGGAGACAGTCATCACTGACTTACAAATATGAAGGAGACCTTAGTTGAAGCTGGAGAGTCTTTTTCAGGAAGGAGGATTTGGAAGGCTTGCCATGATGTGAGATTCCCAGGAATGTTCACCTGAAGTACCAAAGTACAATGTATATAGTACAAGTATTGCTGCCCTGCTCCCAAGGAGCTCAGATTTAAGCAATATCTCCTACGTAGTGAGGAACATTTTAGTTGTTTTGTTTCAGGAATCGCTCCACTGATCCTGCTGCTCAGTAGAATAGGCAGCTTTCTGCAAGAAGAAATTGTTAAGGGAAACAATTTCGGCAGAAGCTGTAGTTTGAGCTGATGCTGCTGAGCTGGGGTAATTTTGTACTGTGTGCAGGAACGTTATAACCTGTGTCCAGAGGCTGCCACAGACTCTCCCTAATGGTCCACGTTACTAATTCAGCTAATTGCAGCAATTACAGGCAGGAGTTGCTGCTGGGAAGAGACGCCATTACACTTCTTTCTAACATGCTGCAGTACATGCTGCTTGTTAATTAGTCCAGCAGCAGGGAAAAAAAAAAAAAATCACCAGCTGGAAATGCAAAGGAATATGCTGAAACTTGTAAGGTCCATGCACAGGCACAATTTGGTCTAAGCCTTTCGGAGCCAGCCTTTCTAGCCTGTCAGCCCAGTCACACCCAGGTTAATCCCTGAAGACTTGGCAAGCAAGCAGGCTGAGCTGCATGTTGGGCATACCTGAAACTTGCAGCAGGTCATCGCACTGCAACAGATGTGCACTAGCTGGGTAAATATAAAAGATTTCCAGCCCAAGGGGTGCATTCTGCCTGAAACGATTAACAGAGAGGGAAGTACTGCAGCCTGACAGAGTGGTGCATTTAGCAACACAGCAGAGAGTCCCGTTAGCTGCCTGGACGATGCTTATTATCTGAGGTTATCCTGTTCATTTTTCTTTGCAGAAAGCATGTTCAGGCTGAACATGCCTCATATGTTCAGCCTCTCAGTGGGTGCCGCCGGGCTGGCCCTACATGGCATTGGCATTTATTGATGAGCCCAGCGTGTTCCAGCTGGACACGTGTACTCGAGCTGCCGGAGGAAGGCTTGCCAGCCACGCAGGTGTCGAAGCCCCTTGTACTTAACTGTGTTCAGCAGCACAGCATGGTCCGCCTGCTGACTTAAACAGCACGGCAGGGGCGCTGCACCTGGGCACACCTGAAATATTCAACAGCACAGTCTAAGCGCTATTCCTCCAAGAGAGCAATCCAGCTCCATGGAGGGCGTATTTACACAGACATTCCCGCAATGCGCGATATAAGTTAAATATTTTAAAAGAAACAATTTTGAAACATTTTTTCTAGAATAGTTAGCTGCCTCTGTAGCAGCCTCTTGACTAGCAAGTGTCTTACGTTTTGTTTTCTCTGTTCTTTTGGCTTTGTTCCTTTCCTTGGCATGCCAGACAACGGATGACATTGTTTCATCAGCTGAATGTTCCAGTGATGATGAAGACTTCATTGACTGTGAGCCCAGTACAGGTAAGTCAGGTCAGTCTTGTTTTGCTTGCTTACTTATTTCATTTGCAAAAAACAATGCATACATATATTGATATGTGTGTGAATGTATACATATATATTTTTATATGTGTGTATATATATGTGTGTGTATATGTGTGTATATATAAAATGTATATATACACTGTATATAAAATAAAAACTCTACAGCCAAGCATCGGATCCCATGGACTTGGCAACAGCAAAAAGTAGATATGTATTCATTGTTTAGTTAGTATAAAGCTATTTTAATAAAAAGCCAAACTTCCTGAAACTAATCCTGGCTAATTAATAGTTAACATATGTATGGCAGTTACTTCACTGGCTCTGGGTGGAAGCAAAAATATCACTGATGTGACATGCAACAAATAATGAAGTTGTGGGAAGTGGGGAGGATGAGTGTTTAAAAATAGAAAAGAGACATGAAAGTGAAACAACAATGGATTATTAGTATTAATCTTCATTAATTGCCCTGAGGATGGACTATAGAAGTAAACATTTGTCCATGGGATTTGGAATACAGTTAACATGGTAATATATTTATACTAATTTTGTTTTCTGTGTACCCAAAGAAATTGGAGAGCACCAAAACATAGGTCTAACACAACAAAATTAGTAGTAGGTCTTGCCATGTTATCTGCAGTGATGCTTCAAAATGTATCCATTAAAGAGTCAAAAGGACGTACCCTATCGAACTGACTCAACTTCTCCCTTTCGATTCAGATACATTTTGATAAATTGATGGCTTTTCTTTCTGGTGAGATATATGATGTGATATCCAGCAGGCAACTGCAGTCTATTTTATTTCTTATAGGCTTTTTCAAGTCTTCTTTTCTGAGGCTTGCCATGAGTTAAGCATTTCTATAATAGAGAACAGATATCATCGAATTTCTGTGTACATTTAAAAAAAAAAAAAAAGAGGGAGATTGGTTAGAATTTTTTATCCTTAAAGGTGAAATATATAAATAGGTTTTTTTTAATTTTTGTTTTGTTTGTTTTTGCTTTGTTTTATTATTTATTTGGGATAATTTTTTTTTCTTAAAAAAATCCCCGGAAAACATTATAAATGTTCTGTTCCTAGTTTGCTGAAGCTATTTGATGAATACAATAAGAACATTAGAATTCACCAGAGGCTAGTGCTTTCATATTTATTTTCTACTCGTCATACTGTGCCTGCATTTTTTGGTAGAACTTGGTCTGCAATAACCTCCAGTTGGTGTTGCCTTGTAGCTGGGAACTTCCACAGCCTAACAGTCTTTGAAGTCTCAGTTTCTGGGAGACAGCACAGAAGGCACTGACACACGGACTGATGCTAACAAATAGCTCAACCTACTCCCACCTCTTCTTTCACAGATCTCTATGAGTTTCTCAACTCCTGACCTGGCAGAGAAGCAGTCCAAATAATACTAGATTGTGGACCGTAAACAGTATGGGCACAGTATGGATATATGCTGGGATCTTAAGTAAAGGCAGTAGTAAACACCAGCACACTGATTGTTATGAAAATGAGGCTTGAGGTTTATAGGACCCTACTAAAAGGACTAATGTACCACAACTGATATGCAAATGAATGGGTAAGAACCATTTCATTAAAGCTTCACTAAGGTTTCAAGACTTCAGCTTTTTTTTCTTCTCTTTTTGCCAAGCATTTCAATTAAAGGAGGAAATGGGATCTTTATCAGACTCCTCCTATTTTATGTTTTAGTCATTGATGTTTCAACAGAGAAATCACAGCTACTTCCAATGGCTATAAGTTGTAATAGCAATGTTTTCAGCTTTTGGTGCCAGTGGAAAAATCAGAGTTTGAGGAGAAATCTGGTAAAACAGGATGCTTAGCATGAAATTTCAGAGTGACTCAAGAGCTTACATTCCTAGGCTAAAAATACCTCTCTCCTGACACATTTAAATAGCTAATGCTACAAACAGGTACAAATGGGATTTATAAGAATGACTTGCTTTTGAAAATCCTGCTAAGCATTGCACTCTCCACCTCTTAGTGCCTACATGCATTTGAATATCTGCCCTTTAGAAGAATATGATTCACTGAAAATCCACTGAAGGTACACTGCTAAGCTAGTAAAGGCTCTTGAAAATTTCACCCAGTATTTTTTATTGCACCTTATTCGCTCTCCATATGATGGTGGCCCATGTGAGCCACTGAAATGTGTAGCTTTCCTTAGGAATTAATGTGGCACTGAGAAGAAAACTTAGCCTGACGGTATGCAGAAAATGGTCTGCTGCATGGTACTTGCTGAGGAGATTTGCACTTTCATATTTTGAGGTTTCCTTCTCTCAGAGGCACCGGTGTGCAAAGTCACTAGAAGGAGGAGGGATATACAGGTCCTTTTTGCCTCCTAAAGCATAAACTGAGCTCATTCCTTCATCCTAAGAAGAAAAGGTAACAGGTTTATGATGCGCCGCATTTAGGTTTCTTTGTCTATCTTAATATCATAATTCCCATTGCATCTGGGGAAGGTAGAACTGTCTTTAACATATCTAATATTAAAGCACTCTTCACAGTGTGTTCCACAGTGAGCGCTAAAGCAATCTTACCTGGTTTATCAAAAACATAGCAGTGCTGGGTTGACTGAGCAGATCTCTACGCCTTTCCACTTCAGCAGTCAAGTCAGGATTCTGGCCATATGCCAAGATCTGGTACTTAAATGTCTACATTGGAAAGAAAAGAGCGAGACTATTTTGCTTTTATTTTCTAGTGTGTGGGTTTGTTTGGGTTTTTTAATTGGGCCCACTTAAAGTTGCTTCCTCCTGTTCTGTTGACAGGTCAGTGTATTTTACACTGCTTTCTGGCTTGCCTGTTCGCTTTTGTAGCAAATTGAAAATTAAATGACATAACCCAGTGCAGGCCCCGTTTTGTTGCTCTGATAATGTGCAGCTTTTAAAGCTCTTGAGTTTCTGCCAAATACCAGGAGTTGGCCTTCCATCACTCTCAGTGCTATGGTCCAGTAATGCAAAGGTTACTGAACTCACTGCTGCAGCTGTGAGATATAATATACATCACTATGAGCCTGCTGTGCAATAACCAAGACAAGGGCAGCAGAGAATGTCATACAGCAAATCAAAAGCTTTCAGATTTCCTATGGGTCAGGATCCAATCCCCAGATCTAAATATATTACTTTGGAATCAGTCCTGGATGAGAGAGTCCATTTGAAGATTCTGGTTTCAGTGTACTCAAAGGTAGCTCAAAAGACAGAAAATCATGTCCTGTTTGAGGATAAATACCTTAGGAGAAGCATTTGCCAGATCTTACTGCCAGTTAACTCTGATTGTCTGTTGAATCCAAATCCTGAATCTCAGTAAGCATACCACCTGCCTCCGAATACGTGCACCCCCTTAAAAGAAGTGCAAAGGAAGTCTCCTCACGCTGCTTCCCTTTGGGGTTTTCCTGGCTAGCTTCAGGCTGTAGCAGGTTGGTTGCACCTCTGTGCCCCACTTGCAGAAGTGATAGTAGGCTGGGCAGCCACTGAGTGAGTTGAGCCCCCTGTTCAGAGACCAAGAGATGTCACAGGAATGCTGTCCTGACTGCTGCAGCTTACAGTCCTCCTCTTTGTAGAAAATATATGCATTAGGAATTACACTACCAAGTGGTGGTAATGACAGTTATGAATCTAAAAATCATCTTTATTTTATGTGATGAAGAAGTCTTTGTAGGTTCAAGAATGAAAAATACTTGGTATTCATCTTATTGCACAAGAGTAGATACCCTTAGTATCTCCCAGAATGAATTATCATAAATGCTATACAGGGCACAAAACAGTTCCTCTGCCCTGAATAGCCATTTCCTCAATGTATAGAACAGTCTGTCTCTTATTTCTATGCAAGTGCTATTTGTCCCAATGCGTGTTTGAAAACCTTCCAATTTTTCTGTGTCAGAAATACGATGCTTTTGTCAGGTATGAGTGTAGGAATCTGATTTGGCCTATTTTGGGGAGATTTGAAGTTTAAACACTCAGCTTCCTGAAAGCTGAACTCAGTGTCTTGACTCTGCACTTTTGAATGCAAACTGTTGCAGTGCTGTTTTGATCTGTAAGGGAAACAACTTCAAACTAGGAAGCACTGTATCATCTTGAATAAGGAAATCATTCATCTCTTTCCAGTATATGAGAGAACCCCTTCAATCTGCTCCTTATTCAGAGCTCAATGCCATGAGGATTAAAGCTATGTTCCTGACAGCTGCTGCTGTCTCCTAGTACCATTACCCTTGTTCCCGTTAAGTATGTCCTCTAGTATAGCCCTCTGGCACCACTCGAATTCAATGTTGGTAATTGGGCAGTTGACTGGAATTGTAGCCCAGAATGTTTATTGAACTAGGCAAAACAGTAAGACCCAAAGACTCACCAATAAATCTGAATCCTGCCATATGACCTCTTGAAATAGTGTGTCTGATTTAAATCTTCTAGCTCCCTGACTGGACACAGCTTGCACTTTTTCTCTGGTGTAGTTGCCAACTTTTCCTTCCTACCAGCCTAACTCAATTTCCTAGCTTATTTTTTTTCCCATCAGGGACATTTATTCCGTGTATTCCGTTTCCCAGAGGGCTTAATCTATCCTAAGGCTGACACTGTGGAATCAGACTGGTAAGACCTTCCCATGAGAGACTGGACACAGCAAAAAAAGCCACTCAGTCGAAATGTCAGAATCTATGATTCTTTGTTCAGAAAATTACATGGTGTTCTGTAGCATATACACATACACAAGAGACACATATGCTATAGATATGCTATCTGTATCTATCATTTATTGGCCTGCACCCGTCCACTTCCAGTCTCCTGATTTATGGATTAGAGCAATCAAGTGTCCACTGCTGCAAAGCAGGGTGCGTGTAGTCTGCCATGGTCACAAGGTTTATTCGCAGAAAACAAGCAGACCATCTCTTTGAAGAGTGTGCAAGCAGCCAGCACAGTATGAAAAGCAGTATGCTGGAAGTGAAAAAACCTTGGTTAAAGAAACCAAGAGAAGTGCTGATTTGCCTCTC